ACCTCCTTACAAAATAAATAATGTTCTTTAATAGAGTCCTCGTCAACGAAACGTACAATAGCCATCAGTTGTGCTTTATTTTTAATATCGGTTGATTCGTCGATTTGAAGCGCAAAAATTCCAGCCGAAATGATTTTTTTAATTAGTGTTCCCAAAATATCACTTGACATATCTTGGATACGTCTTTTAACAGTATCGGCCGACAAAGAAACTTTACTCACGTCCTTAACTTCGTTTGGCCCAAGCATAAGTCTAACAATTTCCATGCATGCTGGTTTAATAAGCGTTTCACCGATAGTGTGCGGTTTTTTTTGTTGTGCAATTAATTTTGCAACAAGGTAGCTTGCTTCTAATGCCTTTTCAGAAACCGTAACCGCCGATTTCATAAACTGCTTTTGTTTCTTATTTTGATCCAAGCGCCGTTGGAAAAATTGAATGTCTTTTTTGACGCAACTGGGATGATTTGTGATCAAATGACGGTTTAGTTTGCTGGGTACCATTGCTTCATTTGACAACTGTTCACCGCAAATGACGCATTCAGGCTTTGGAGCCGCTTCGTCGCCACACCAAGTGAAACCATATCGAAGGTAGTCTTGATTGTACTTCCTTTTCAGCACCTTTTTTGCTCTTTTTGCAGCACTTATGCTGGAGCTTGTGCTAGGTTCTTCGTCATCTGCTCGTGATTTCAGCAAAAATTTATCCATATTTGAAGCACTATAGTTATTTATAAAAGTAGATACTGCAACAAAACTTAGTCCAGTTCACTTATTTATAAGGCACAAGAATTTATTTATATAGTAATTCACTATTTATTTCACTCTACGATTTATTTGTTTGCCCGCGTATTTATCTGATTCACTTGACTATTCGACTCTCTCTGAGTCTCTGAGCGACGACAGGCGCGCTTATATAGGCAGTGGCGATGTTCAGGAAAACATCGAGTCGCGCCTCGAACGGCACGGATCTTTCTAGTTAAAGCCTTGGTTTCTTTGAACACTTCGTCGCGGTGAGCGGACAGTCCGTCAACCGTCGCGTTTTGACGATTTTATCCAACCAGAGTATTTAAATGGGAATGGTTTTCTTGAATCCGCTTAGCTGAACAGGACGGCGTCATGCCGCTGATTTGTCGCGAAGAGTCGGTTGATATCTGTTGAGTTTGATATCAGCGGAATCGTCGGCGTGTGCGGAGACTATATTGTTATTAATTTTAAAACAATGAGTGACAAATTCACACATACAGATGACATCATGACTTTATTTTTAGGTTTCTTGGAAATTATGTCCTTTATAAAACTCAACACGAATTCAAAAAGATCTGTAGAAAGTCTAAAATACTCCCTAAATTTGGTTTCATTTCCAAAAAGCCTCCGCTGCACAGTGATATTAAAGGCACCTTCTGTATCGCGACAGAAAAACAACTCATTCACTGGCTTATTGGAAACTTTGACGGTTGCAATTGCCAGTTCCTCTTGTTCTTCCTCTTCCAACAATAATAACAACGCAAACAATTTATTTGCAACCATTTTAGTACCTTTCGTTTACATTCATAATACATAAACAGCACGTACAGACATAGAGAAAGTATCATTTTCTATATTTTTTAACAAACCACCTCGGGCGAAAATTGCTGTCCTCAGCGGTCGACGGACTGTCCGCTCACCGCGACGGAGTGTTCAAAGAAACCAAGGCTTTAGTCGCCTTCGAGAATCAAGCCGCCGCGCCGCGCCGATAGACGGATAGACGTTTACCATCGGCGCTGTTGTCAGATTGCTTTATTTTTCGCGGGTCTCGCTACAATACGAATCTGATTCGTATTGTCTGCAAGAGCGGCACACCTCAAGTCGGCTTACGGCACACCAGTGTGCCGCGGCACACCGGTTGCGGAGCACTGCTCTAAATACTTGCCTCTAACCACTAATATCGAAGCAGTAGCTGTCAAAGTTTGGCTTCCAGAAAAAGTCACTATCTGCAATATTTATATTCCTCCTGCTTATTAATTGTCCAAAACTGAACTAACCAACCTTATAAATCAATTGCCTCTTTATAATGGTCGGCGATTTGAATGCCCATAATACTATGTGGAATTCCGATAAGACTTTTGGTAGAGGAAAAACTCTTGAAAACGTTTTAAACAACACCAGTGTATGTATTCTTAACACTGGTTCTGCCACTCATTTTAATATATCTTCTGGGAGCTACTCATCAATTGATCTCAGTATTTGGAAAATTGCTGGTGCCAACTGGAAAGGATTCAGATCGCACATTGAAAACCACATATCTCAGTACCAAATTATCGAAAATGTTGATGAAGTTGTTCCTGATTTCAATGACTTCCATAGCTCTGGTTAGTGTGGTTTTATGGCTCCTGTTATGTTGAGACATGCTGTTATTTGAATTTGTTCTAGTTTGCGGATAGCTGTTAATTTTTGGGTTTTCGATACCCAGACAACTGCACCGTATATTAGCATAGGTCTTATGATAGCCATGCAATCCATGTGACGACTCTGGGGGAGAAACCCCAAGTGCGCCCCACGGTTCGGTGGCATGGTTCATAAGCAATTTATGCTCTTTTGACTCTGTTTTCTAAGTGTAAGTTCCATGGTAACTTGTTGTCAAAGGAGCTACCTAGGTACTTCACCTCTGTTGCAGTTTTGTTTTACGTTTAGGAGCTCTAGAGGTTTTAATTCCATTTTCTTCCTTTTCCTTGTGAAAACGACTATTTCTATCTTCTTGGGATTGATAGACAGTGAATGGTCCTTGCACCACTGTTTAATAATTAAAGACACGAGTGGATAAAGGTGTCATGTCACAAAAAGATTATTTCGAGAAAATTAAGTTTAAAGTTTTACAATTGCATTACGATATATGGCTCATGATACCCCTATCTGATGAATAGCCATTATTTATCAAAATTGGAAATATCACAAACAAAAAAATATAGTATATTTTAAGTATAATATGTCATAAAAATCATTTTTTGAAAATTCCCTATTTGCAGAATGACCAGGTTATTTTCTTACGCTATTGTGTAGTGACTGTTACTATTGTACCCTACAGTACTTGTTATTAAAATAATCTATTTTACATAAAGAACATTGTAAGAATTTTCTGTATGTCATTATTACTTTAGTATGTGTTCAATTCTTATGAACCAAATGACAAAAACTAATTAATTTTCATACGTTTCCCAGTGTATTAAGTTCCCATGTTTTAGTAGCCAGTTTTGCCAGTCTAGTACAATTGTACTAGATCTAGTACATTTTCTGAGAATCTGATACTCTAGTACACTTAAAGCAAAATCTACTACTTTTTTCAGCGTATATTCCATTTGAATTGTAAAATATATTGTTCAAAAATTGCCAGAGAAATTAAAATATTTGTTAAAAATTGCTTCAGAGATAAAATAGTAGACATTTCTCGAGAGATAAAACATTGTTCAAAAATTGCACGAGACATCAAATATTGTTCAAAAATAGATTGAGAAGTCAAATGATAAAATAGTATTAGAAATTGCTTGAGGAGTAAAGTTTTGTTCAAAAATTTCTCTAGGGATAAAAATACCTACTGTTAGAAATTTAATGAGAGATAAAAAAATATTTAAAAATTGTTCGAGAGATTAAATAGTATTATAAATTGGTAAAGTCGTGTTCAAAAATTGCTCGAGGTAAAATATCATTACAAAATGTAAAACCTTGTTAAAAAATTGCTCGAGTGATAAAATACTGTTGAAAAATTTATTGAGAAATAAAATATTGTTCGAAATTGACTCGAGATACTGTTAGAAATTTCTAAAGAGATAAAACATTGTTTAAAGATTTCTCGAACGATAAAATACTATTAGAAATTACTCGAAAGATATTGTACAAACATTGCTCGAGAAAAAAAAAAGTTGTTAAAAATTGCTTGAGATATAAAACATTGTTAAAAAATTATCGAGAGTTAAAATATTGTTATAAATTTGTAGAGAGTTAAAATATTGTGCAGTTTTCTAAACAGATAAAAGAAGTTGTTAAAAATTGCTCGAGAGATAGAATAATGTTAGAAATTTATCGAAAAATAAAATATTTAAAAATAGCTCAAAAGATAAAAAAGGTTTGAAAACTGTTCGAGAGATAAAATAGTATCATAAGTTATTAAATTCTATTTTTAAAATTGCTCGAGAGATAAAATAGTATCAGAAATTTGTCGAGAGATAAAATATTGTTTAAAATTATTGTGTTCGTGTTCTCTATATATAAACCTTTTTTTGCTCTTTAATAGGGAGTTTTAGCAAACAGCCGCTAACCATCCGCTAACGTTACCTTAGGGATAGACTGTAATCTACTCCGTTCAATGTTTATGAAAAAGGTCACAATCTAAGTTTAACGTAACGTTAGCGGAAATCTTACGTACATTTGCTAAAACTCTCTTATGACCACACTTCACAATTAGAAAAATCTGGTAACTTTATAGAATCTAGTACATTTTTATGTAATCTGGTACATTTTTTAAACAAATCTGGTGCATTACAAAAATTTATTCTGGCAACACTGTTTAGTACATACAAATGCTGCGTTTGAGAATCCACATCGGATGCATTTTTTACATCTCGAGCGTTTTTTTATCCACATCGGACACATCTATCCCATTACATTTACGTATACTGAATCACGTGATCAAAGATTTTTTACATCTCAGATGCATCGGATGTGGATTCTCAAACGCGGCAGAAAACTCATTCAGTTTCGCTTCTTGGGTAGGTATTCTTTGCCTTGACTAGATACTAGATGAAGGCAACGTAAACAAAAAGAAGAGCTCTGTTCGTTTGATTGATCCGATCATTAGTATTCCGATTTAGTAAAATGAACAAACAATTTGGTTGTCATCTTGACATTGACAATTTTGAAGTATAACAGCTGATTTCTGATTTGATGTCAGAAGAAAACGCGCATTTATTTTTTTCAATTTATAATTGTCAAACAATGGATTTGTCAGCATAAAAGAAGTGTTACGTTTACACTATGAGCTTGAATATTCAAAAAATTCCAGTATTCGTATTTCCAAATGCTTTGAAGTTTTATTTAGCTACTAAATCATCACACAAACAATTGTTGACTCTTTATAATCCCTACGATTTTCCTGTTAGATTTAAAGGTATTTTATTACGAAAAACCTATTTGATTCCATAGTTCAATTATTTGCATTTTAGTGCTATCTACTGCTCCGAATAAGTACGCAGTGATAGATCCTGAAGGCAGTATAGGACCTCATATGTTAGTTGATATTGTTATAAGACACACTAGCCCTGTAAGTAATAATTGCAATGTGGTCGACAAATTTCGAATATCTATGCAGGATCATGCAACCAAACAGGTAATATTATTTGTGCGAATGTATTTAGTTACTCATTACATGTTTTTTAGCTTCTTGGAAAACGTGACATAGAGGCTATGTTAATTCCTGGAGAAAAAGACAATATTTCAAATGACGGAGATTTTCAGAACTTGCCTCCGCATTTAGATAGGGCAAGTTTGACTGATGAACAAAGAGTATATGTAACAAATAGGTATATTATTTTTCTTATATAGTTAACACATATTTACACTGACAGACACTTTATAATCCGTTCTGAAAAGAATGTAAATAATAATAGTCTTTATGTTCTTTAAGATTATGTTACATGATATAAGATAAGGCATAGGCAATGACTGCCAACTACAAGTTAACTCTCAGTTTGCATTCTTGGGTAGGATGCCAACTAAAACTTATCTCATTTTTTTTTTCTCCTGGACTTGTCTGACTATGTCTCCGAATAACACTGAAGCCTATTGGCTTATTGTCTTTTACCCCATGTTAGTTCATAGCATCCACTCTGTCACCTTTGTACCTTGTACAAGTTTGTACAGATCCTTGGGTGAGTGGGTTCTATACATTGTTGGATTAACCTGGGGTTGTCCAAAAAGTGCCTGTCTTTTGCGATTTAGAGCTTTGCACAGTATGTGTTTGGCCGCGTCTGGTTTCTTGTGACATAGTTGGCACATGAAATAGAATTTATTCATCTTTGAGAATTATACACTATACAAAGACACTAGGTACATAATGTAAAATCCTATTAGACTAGTCAAAAAAGTGTTAAGTAAAATACATTAAAAAATAAAATATATAATAGACAATTCATGTTAAGATTAGTTTAAAAGTTCAAAAAATCTTCTATACTATAAAATACATTATTTACAAGAAAATCATTAAGATGTTTTCTTAAATCATTACAACTAATTTGATGATAACCTGTAGTATCTTCTGTGTTACTGAACTTATTGTAACACTTAATCCCAATATATTTTGGTGAATGCTGATTTATTTGTAGTCGTGCAAAAGGTTGATGGATGTTAAATTTTAATCTAGTATCATATGAGTGCAGGTCTTTATGTTTCTTAAATATATGCTCATTATCTTTTATGTATAAAATAAGTTGAAAAATAAAAAAGGGAAGATAGTGTTAAATTTTGCATTTTCTTGAGAAGTTCTTTACATGATGTTGTTGGTGTCACCTTATACATGTCTCTCAGAACCTTCTTTTGAGATACAAAAGCTCTTTCAAAGTATGGTGAAGAACCCCAAAATATTAACCCATATTGTGAGTTGAAAGAACCAAACCAAAATAGCATAGTTTTAAAGTATCAAAAGATAGTGTCTCCTTTAAATTTTTGATGATATAACAACAAGTACTTAATTTTGAAGTTACCATTTTTATATGAGCTTCCCAATTTAATTTGGGATCTAATATTATTCCTAAAAATGTTATGTCATCAACGCTTTGAATAGTTTTTCCGTCAACGTGCAAGTAGGGTTCGTAACCTGGTAATATGTTTTTGGGTAGAAATTGCATGAAGTTTGTTTTTGTTACATTTAATGCCAGACTGTTATTTTTACAATACTGATTAAACTCACGAGATGCCTCGTTGCTACTTTGAGTGACTAGTTCAATTTGATCATCTGCCATTACAATATTGGTATCATCAGCATATTGAACAATGAGTTCCCCATTGTACATGCCAATTGTGTTCAAGTGTCCCTTTACTGGGGCGTGCCCTGTCATGAACCCTGTTATCACTTTTAACTGGTTCCTATTCATAAAGAGTAGTTCTTTTGGGACATGGTCTGCCTATGAATGCTTTTCCATGCGCCTGTTTTGGGGTGCTTTCCCAATAGTTAATATGTTGTTCCCGAATCCAGTCGTTTATGAAACCCCGGACTGTACTTTTTGGTACTCCTAGGTTTGTGTCTGGTTCCGGTGTTTCTTTTGACCCTCTTTTTGCAAGTTCGTCAGCCTTTTTGCAAGTTCGTCAGCCTTTTTGTTGCCTTCGGTCCCTTGGTGACCTGGCACCCAAAATAGCTTTACTCTATTTCGGTCTGCCAGTGTTCTTAGTTCTTCAATGCATTCCCATACCAGCCTCGACGTAACTTTCTGACTCAATATGGCCTTAGTGCTGCTTGTCTGTCTGACATTATTTGAATATGCAGATTTTCGACAGCTCTTTCATTGTTCGTTTTTGCACATTGCAAAATTGCGTATACCTCGGCCTGAAATACCCAGGAATGTATTCCTATAGCATAGGTATGGTTAGTATCAGGTTTTTTGGAGAATACTCCCGCCCCAGTGCCTTCCGCAGTCTTAGACCCGTCTGTATACCAGGTTTGTTCTTGTCGTTATGGTGATCTCCGCTCTTTCCTGTATTAAAACCTTAAATGGAGTATTAAAAGAGTATTATACAGTGAGCATCATAAGTCTTACCCCCCTAACTAACTCGTTACTGGAGTCTTGTTAGGAAAATCGCCGAGACATGTCGATTTTTGATTTCTGCAATGTACATTTTTGTATGAATAGTTTACTCTTAATTTCATCCCTTTCTGGAGGGAAGTAACCCTTTCAAAAAATTTAAATGGCATGGGGTGGTGAGTGATAGCTCATTTGAAAGGGGGTTTTATTCTCTATTCAACTGTGCAATATATTTTGAAATTTGCTTCATTACGTGTTGATTTATTAATGTTTAAAAATAACAAAACATCACAAATAGGAAAGCAACTAAACTAACAGTGACCTTATCTAATGAAAAAAAGTCTTACTTTACGTCTGAGCCAAAATCGATATCATGCAGGGCCGAATTTTAATTCTAAGGATGAGTGCGCTACGTTAATTTCCGTTATTCTGAAACAATAATTAGGCGAGAAAAAATCGATACTCCCATACCTACAAATCTTTACCAGTTCCCCCCTTTTAAAAATTAAAAAATCCTGAAATAGGTTCTTATTTATTTATGATGAGTGCTACAATTCCAATTTTCAAGTTCCTACCTTTAAAAAATCTATACTCCCATATAAATGCTCACCCCCATCCTCCCCCCTCTAAAATGAAAAAAAAATCCAAAAACCTTGAATACGTCATTATTTATTTATGATGAGCAACTGTAATTCCAATTTTAAAGTTCCTACCTTTAAAAAATCGATACACTCCTACGAAATTTCACCCCCAATTCCCCCCCCCCCCCTCCCTTTAAAATGTAAATTTCCAAAAACCTTGAAATACGTCATTATTTATTTATAATGAGTAGCTACAATTCCAATTTTCAAGTTCCTACCTTTATCTATACTCCGATACAAACGTTCACCCCCATTCCCCCCTCCCTTAAAATGTAAAAATCCAAAAACCTTGTATAATGTCATTATTTACTTATGATGAGTAGCTAGATTTACAATTTTCAAGTTCTTACTTTTAAAAATTTGATACTCCCATCAAAGTTTCTCTCCCCGTTTCCCCCCCTTAGAATGTGATTTTTATAAAATCCTTTCTTGTGGGTGTCTAAGTCGAGAAAGGAATAACTATGTCAAATTTCAAGTCAATCAGGCTTATAGTTTTGGAGATCTGGTGATGACTCAGTGAGTGGTATTTCGCTTTTATATATAGATTATAAAATATCAGTGTCATAATTTGATTCAAAGTAAAGGTTATTTTGTCTTTTCCAAGTGACTATTGGAAATAGTAAATTTATCATTTGAACACTGACATGAAAGACTTTGTAAAAAAAATAAATAACTACAAATTCTAATTAGTAGAGAACAGAATATTATGCATCAAAATTTATTCATATGTGCATTTTGCATATATTCCACTCTCTACTAATTAGTGACCATTCGATCAATAATTGGATCATATTAAAATTTTCAAGCCTATTTTAGACCAACCTAAAACTTTAACAATGCTAAAAAAAAGTAATACAAACTATTTAAACACGTTAAGAACATTGGTATAAATAGTATAAAAAAATATCACATTTATATCGATTTAGGTTGCCGACTAGGGTAGCACGCCTTTAAGCCTAGAAACAATCTAAACGGACTAAAGTCACTGTTACTCCCGCGATGTCATCACCTGGATTAAAATTATAATAAAATAAAAAAGAAAGTTATTATTTTAACGTAATTATAACAAACCATTTGTTTTTCATCTAATTGCTTAAAAAATATTGTTCCAGTCATTTATAGAAAAATTCAGTCAATAATTTGTATCTAAATAGTTTTAAATATTTAATTATATTTTAGGTCACTGCCAGCTGTTCAGTCTACGAACTACGTATTAGCAATTATAATAGGTCTAGTGTGTGTGATAACGTTGCTTTTACCGACGCAAGAAGAGATACCCAAGCCTTCTAGTATTCCAGCAAATTTACACATCAGTATAAACTTCAAGTTGGTGTTGGCTTACGTATTGGGACTGGTGACGATGGTCATCTTTCATCCCTAAACCTTCAAAATGATTGGTGACTACTGTAAATATGGTGTACAGTTAAAAATAAAAAACGGAGTCTATATGGTTGGGCCATGTGTTCAAAAAAATGGTGTTTTTATTGTAAATAAATGGTTTTATTTTTTGTTATACATTTTAAATGATTTTATAATAAAAAACGTAAAATGCTTTTAACAAATCGTTTATTTCTAAATATGTTCAAGGTACAAATGAGATGAGAGGGAAAGAAAACATGCATCTTATAACATTTTTTTTTTTATATAATCAAATCGGTAAATAAAAGTGTTAATAATACTTAAATATGTTCAAATATTTTTATTTGTTCTTCCAGAAGATTTAGCAGAAAATATAGAGGGCGATTTGAATTAAATTTTTATTTATAGGGAAATTAAAACTGGGAGTATACGAGATGGTGTACATTAATTTTTGGAATAAATCTTAGACCGCGATATTTTGACAAAAAATTCCGAAGATTAAAAAAAATTGATGGTGGCTCTGACGGGACGAAACGCTGTATATAAAATTTAATAGTACAGGTTTATATGCGAATATTTAATTTGAAAAATTAATGATAGTTTTTACTTTATTATCTATAGTCCAAAAATGTTCCATTACAAAACTACGGGAGCTAAAATTTTAGAAAAAAAAAAAAGGAATTAATATTTTCGAAATCGCTCGAGATATTTCAGTTATATTTAGTAAGCAGTGACAGTTAATAAAGGTGCATATTTTCAAATAATTTTCAGCTTTAACAATGACGTGCGTACTGGCACTAACTTCGATATTGGTTTTTTCCAGAAATAATAGTATATTAAAATACAAGTTGCAGAAGGCAGCATATTCCCGCACGAATTCGAAATTAGGTCACGAGCGATGAAGGAGCGAGTGGACGAACGAATGAGTGCGAGAATAGCCTTCTGCAACGAGTGTTTTATACTATTTTCTCGATTTTGGGCTATATTTTTTGCCACCCTTAAACGTCCCTTCTAAGTTAGAAAGAGGTATCCTCAAAAAGAACAATTTTCAAAATGACCATATTTTTTTTCCACCCTGTATACTGCTATCCTAAGTCAAAAAGCATCAAAATACGAATCTTTAAAATGACCATCAATATTCTTTTGCCACCCTGTAACCGGCCCTCCTAAACTGGAAAGAGGTATCCTCAAAAAGAACAAATTCAAAGTGACCTTCAATATTTTTTTGCTACCTGTATACTGCATATCATCATATTATAAGTGACAAGAAATATTTGAAACAATCCGGCGGTATTTAAATTATTTTTTTTTTTAATTCAAAGGAACACAAAAAATGCGTTTTTCCTAGAAACTCACTTCAACTAAAACACCGTTTTTTTTTTTATTGGCTCAGAAGGGTAGTATACTAAACCGCCGTAATCCAAAAGAACCAACCACTTCTCGGAAGAACCACAATGAAACGTACATACCGCGATCAAATTGGAAGCAAATATTTTCATACATTTATCAACAATTAAAAACCTACAAAGAAATCCGATCGATTCAAGGCGATTTAGATTTCGACTTAGAACGACTCCTAGACCTAGATTTCGATCTGCTGCCCGATTTCGATCTAGATCTAGACCTAGAACCACTCTTCGACCTCGATCTCTCTCTGGATACACTTCTTGATTTGGAAGCGCTTTTAGATCTTGATCTAGATTTAGATCTAGACCCGCTTTTAGACCTCGAGCGCGATCTGGAACCGCTCTTAGATCTAGATCTGCTTTTGGAGCGCGATCTAGATCTGCTACCAGACTTCGATCGCGCTCTCGATCGATCCGATTCCGACCCGGACGAAATTTTGCGTTTCCTTCTACCGCCAGCGTCGCTTTCGTCGCCGCTCGCCACTTTAAGACGGTTATCGTCGCTGTCGTCATCGCTGGACGATATCGTCGCTTTCGATACGATCCGCATCTTCTGCTTAGCGCTGAGACCATCGTCTTTCTTCGCTTTAATTTTCGGTTCCTTCTTCTTCCTTTGTCTCGGTTTGTTGCTACCGTCCGAATCGTTATCGCTGTGTCCCTTGCGTTTTCTTCCTCTGCCGCCTTTCTTCTTTCTGTCTCCGTCGGATCGTTGTTTCTTCCGTCCGCGATCTTTCTTCTCCGAAGGACCGCTACCGTCGACGTTTTCTTGATCACTACCGGAATCCGAGAGTACGTCTCCGGTTTTGCTTCGTCCTTTCGCTTTGGCCTTCTTCTCTGACGGCATGTAATCGAATATGACGGCGTTCTTCGTCTTCTCCTTGTATTCTTGACGTTTCTGCAACATTTGCTCCTTGTTGAGCCGTTGGAATTCTTCGATTTTCTTCGCCTCTTCGATTTGGCGCATCTTGAAAGCGGCGCGTTCTTCTTCTTGTTTACGTCTGATCGTGCGTTCTTCTTCGTCGACGCGTCGGGCTCGCGCCACGTGGTATTGCGCTTGGGACAAGAGATCTTTGCATTGTCTAGCTTCCAGTTCGGCCAGAGCTACGTCGTAACGCTGTTTGTCGGCTAGTTCGACCAAGTAGTTAAAATATCTGAAAAAGAAAAAGAAATTTAATATTTGGAAAGTGAGTCAATATAAATTCTGCTTACTTTAAAGACAGGCCCAGCTCGTGCACGGCTTGTAACACCGTCGATAACGTCGATTTTTCATCCTTCAAAATGACAGTAGCTAATCGTTGCAGCACCAAAGCGATATTGTACAACAGGATAGTATCTTGAGGTGCCACCCTTCTGGCTTTGAGCAGTACCATTTTCGCTTCCTTGAACTTATTCGCTTTGAAATAAGCTCTCGCCAAGTATTGCAGAACTTCGACGTTGTTATATTTATAAAACTTCCTTAGGCAGTTCTCGTACTAAAAAGAAAACACAATTATTATAGTAGTTCAACTATACCAACGAACGTACCATTTGTATAGCGCTGACGAACTGCTTTTGCTCGACGTAAACGTGAGCGATGTTCAACCATACGTCGGAAAAATCAGCTGTGGCTTCTCTGACTTGCGCGAAAATGTCTCTGGCTTCATTGACGGCATTTTTGTGCGCCAAAACCGAACCCACGCCGTTGGCAGCGAATATGTTCTTCGGATCGATCTTTAGAACTTGCTTGTACAGATTCAGGGCTCTGTCTTGATGCCGCTTCATTCTATCCTTGTCTTTGGTAGGTTGATGAAGGGTTTGCAGCCAGACGTTGCCGAGTGCGATTAAAGAATAAGCGTCTTGTGATGTGGAAGGATTCTAAAATAAATTTTAACTATAATTTAGACTCGTTAAATTCGATTTATTACCTTTAAAATCCTTTCATACTTCTTCTGGCCGGGTCCCCACTCTTGCTTGGCCAAATGGAGGTTACCTAGCAACGACCAAGCGTCCGGGTGTTCGGTGTCGATCCTCAAGGCTTCTTTGAACCAATCGGAAGCGTCATAATAGTGTCCTTTATCTCTCGCCATGCAGCCCAATCTCAAATAGCAATCGACGTAGTTCGGGTGCTCTTTTAAAATGTCTTTGTACAGCTTTTCGGACTTGTCAAAGAGGCACATGGCTTCGTTTAGTCGAGCTAAATTATATGTCATCGTTACGGATACAGAGTTGTAGTATTGAGGATCGTGAGTCGCTTCCAATTCTGCTCTGCTGATGGCTTCTTCTACGTTCTTTTTGGCTTCTTCTAGATTTCCCAATCTGTGAGGAAATTTACTTGTAAAATCGGCATATTCCAACACCAATACACTTACCTATATTGCAATGCGCCAACGTTATTCAAAATCTCGACAGGTATGTCACTCTGAACGTTCTTTTTCAACAGTTGCATGGCCATCTCGTATGCATTAAGAGAAGCTTGCAAATCGCCCTGTTCCAAAATTTGCGCCAATTCAATCCAAGCCTCGATATCGTCCGGAAATTGATCAGTCACTTTTTTCAAATGGACTTTAGCTATGTCCCTTTTAGATTGAGATGTCGAATTGGCATACAGAGAACCCAAAATTTTCATCGTTTCGTAATTACCCGGTTGGGCTTTGAGAACTTTCTCAAAACATTGAGCAGCCTGTAAATGCATCGACATTCAAACGATTTGAATAAACGAACCAACCTTTATCCGTAAAAATTTTGCTTGTCACCTATAATAATTGTCAACTTTGACGGGTGACAACTGTTATGGTTGACAGCTGCAATGTCAGTTTGTAATTAGGCATTCCAAACTGAATGCCTACCAGTGGGCTTTGACGGGTTATGATATTGCAAAATTATGGCAACCCTGTAGACCTGGTGATTTGACAAGGTCAATGAAATAGATAGTTACATAGATTGATTATCCATATTTTTCAAAATAAACATAAGCGTATGCCTTGAAGTAAAAATGTAAGCAATTATTTTTTTTTAATATCTAAAGGCTAAAAATTGGTTTAAAACACTTTTAGCTAAACCGATTCAAATTAATAAATATTTGCCAGGCAATATGGCCGCTCGTAAACGACCAGCTTTGAGCAATCTATATAACTATATATGTATCATTGACCCTGTTCATGACAACAGGGTTGCTATATCTAAACTGTCATTACCCACTGGTAGACATTTGGACAGGTCGTTGGAATGCCTAATTAGGCATTCCAAACAAATGAATTGCCAGTGGGAATGTTTGGTATATCTAATGGTTGCGACATACGATGTATTCTATCTACAATACTTAAAATCATAAATAATGGATTACATTTAAATAGTTTATGTCGAACACAATAAATATATTATTTAAAAAACCGCTTGTACATTTTTTAAAAAATTGGCAGGCTTGACGACTGATATTTCGAATAAAAATAGCGTCCAAAATGAAAGACTATGTCGCTACCACCTTAGATATACAAGACCTTCCCACTAGTAGGTATTGTTTGACAGGTCCTTGGAATGACCAATAAAGTTATTTTGTCACGTTGTGAAGTACTTTAACTGTAAATGTTCAACTGTTTGTTTAGAATTAACACAAATGCAGTGATATAATATAATATATTTGAACCTCATAATACAAAAAGACTGAAAAGAAATTGACTTAAATGGTTGAAGATGACTTATCATTGGAATAGGCCTCATCATGCCAAATAAGAGTACATTAGCTCATAAAACTATGTTTGTTTTGATTGCTAATAAATATATGTTTGGAAGGAAATAAATTTCAATTATTTTTCCCTTGCCATTTATTTTACGTTGTTGTTTAAATATATGTTTAAGTAAAGTCAAATGTTTTAAAGAAGACTCACATTTTCAGTGTCTCCTCTGTAGATGTACATTTGACCTAGTCCGAAATGCGGCAGTACAAAAGAAGCTGGCGAAAATTGAGTTGCTTGATAGTAATATTGGAAGGCCTGGTCATAATCTCCTTGTACTTGAAATGATCTAGCCAGTTGGTAACAACTTTCAGCACGCATAGCTTCATTTTCCGTATTGTGAAACGCATGTAACGCCAAATGTTGCACTTTGCTGTAGTCCTGAATGATGTAGAAATAAAAATAAATACCTAACGCTTGCAATGAATTACATTTATTACCTTTTTGAAAAAGAAATGGTTAGCTAAATGATTCAAAACCATGGGATCGGACGAATCGATTGTGTAAGCCTTAGATAACATCTGTACACCAGTTCGAATTGATTCTGGTTGTTGCAAATTTAATTTTAATATCGCTAGACCGACCAGGGCGCCTACGCACTTGGGATCCAAATCTAGGGCTCTTTCAAAGGCCAATCTAGCCTTTTCCAGGTTATTAAGTTTGATAAAACAGTGACCCATACCTGTAAGATTGGAATAAATTATATGTTGTACTTTTAGGTGTATCACAAACACAAATTTTATTAGAAGAGATTTGGAAGTGATTCTGAAGAAACTTAGTATGCAGGCGATAAACTCAGGCGGTGGTTTTAGGGGGTAAACGAGATTTGCACTAAATAACCAGTAGTCTCATATTATTGGAAACCCGAAGAATCCAATGTCAATAGAAGATTTACACTATATACTGGCTCCATGACAAAACAGCGCTGGACAAAATATGGCAAGGATAAAATAGCGCAGGACAAAAGCGCGTAACGAACAAGATATATTTTTTTGATTAATGAAATTCCTTTAAATACAAATACTGTTCCAACGACGCCTATGTATAGAATGTTTGAAGTGTAGCTCCGTTTTTCTCACATTTTAGGATTCGACCCATTTCGCGAGGGACAAATTTGCGCTGAGTTAAATGCATGAGAGACAAGTTAGCGCCTCATATAAAGTGAGACCAAATAACGCCTATTCTAATTATAGTTAGTTAAGTTAGCACTTTTTCGAAAAAGAGTGAAACTAACATGTTATAAAATATGCCAATATTCTAACTGAAATAATAAAAAAAAATCGTAACTAATTTACCTAACCTGTGCGGCCTGGAGCCATAGCGGGTTACTGCATATGGCTCCAGGCCGCACAGGTTAGGTAAATTAGTTACGATTTTTTTTAAATTTTTGTAATTTTGTTTTTTTTGTTCAAAGCAACATCGATGGCATCAGACCGCCCAGGTTAGGTAAATTAGTTTAAGTTTTTTATTATAATTAGAACATTAGAATATTTTGACCTACTCTATTTTGTCCTGTGCTATTTTGTCCTTGCGCTATTTTGTTCTTACGCTATTTTGTCCTTGCGCTATTTTGTCTTCGCCTTATTTTTTCCTGTGCTATTTTGTCCTGCGCAATTTTCTCCAGCCCTATTTTGTCCAGCTTCATTTTTTCCGGCGGTTTTGTCATGAAGCTGTACAAAATATCTATATACAAACTTGGTACAACTGATCATTAAATATTAAATATAGTTTCGCATTAAACGTCGTTTTGACGATGTGGTCTAACGATGTCAAAAGTATCGAATATCCGATCCTACACTCCCACATAAGTATAAATGTCGATCGACGTTCTCATTTTTGTAGAATTTTTAGGGATATTATTGCTGTGTTTAAGTATCCACATCCGATACAGTTTTACATCCCGAGCGTTTGTTTATCCACATTGGACACATCTACATCTGCGTTTGTTTATCCAAGATGTAGCCGTCCAGATTACATTTTTTACATTTGAAATGAGATGTTTGTTCCATGCCAGAAAGTAAGTTTATCGATTTATCCTTTGTTTATTCTAACGTGAATATAAAAGTGATTAGTTTGTTTAATTTTTGTTTAGATTTCAAATTTAGGTTGATTTGTAGTCTCAAAAGTCAAACGCAAAAAGTATAAACTTCTAACTGAGTCATTTTATCACGTGACCAATAAAGTCTAGTGTTTGTTTATTACATCTACATTTAGATCTAATCCTTTATCACGTGATAAAAAATTCACAACATCTCATATGTATCCGATGTGGATATTCAAATGCAGCATATGATCCCCGCTCTAGCTATTCACAAGTATGTTATTGCAGCGAAGATGACAGAATGCGACGTTGCCATTTTTATATTTTTCCCCCAGATTTGGGGAAAATTCGGAAAAAGTGTCTTCAGTATTCAAATAGACAAGTCAGTGTTCTAGGATCTCATCTTTGACAAAATTTGATTATCAATTTATTATTAATATTTTTTTTGTTTTCTTTTAGTAGTGTTTTATATTTAATTTAATTGTTACCGTTTTTATTTTGTAGCATTATACATTATAACTATTAAAACTGCCTATGCAATAAAATATGCAATTGTTATAAAATTAGTTAATTTTAATCAATTTCTTCTTCTGCGATGTGTAATAAACTTGTACCTGTATCTCCCATGGGCTTAAGACCTTTTAATTTGCTAATTATTTAATGTTGTTTCTGTTAGGTATGTACAATTTTAAATCTGAATTAAGTATGTTGTAATATATATTTGCAAATATTGTAAAAGGGTTTATGTACAATTAAATAAATTTTGTCTAAATAAAAAAAAAGGTAGTGGAATTGTATAGGACAATTCAGCCTTTTATTCACCCTGAGTTTTCTAGAAAAAATTAGTTGCCGTATTAAAAAGAAAACATAAAATGGGGTAAAACTACTGAATAAAAAAATGCTTGCAAGAGCAATACTCTTATTTGAGTCATACAAACATTTTGAGAGCATATAGACCACTTTTTGACTTTTGATTATGATCATACTCCTATTTTTTTAGAATATCAACCCCTTTGCCATCATAAAAAATGCTTGCAATATAATCTTGGATTAAAAAAAAAAAACGTGTTTAAATCCCAAATTTTGTTGAAAAGGTCAATATGCGGTTACGTGGCTGAAATCCCTACACCAAAAGTAGCAAAACCGGATAACAAAAAATGCTGAAAAAGGGATTTTTTCATTGTTATTAACATCTAGAAGCATATACTTGATTGCCGGCAAAAAAAAAGAAAAAACTAAATTCCATTTATTTTGAATTTGATAAGTCACATGACAGCTCCCACCACCGGGACATAGTACATGTTGTTCACCCCACTCTCCTGTACCCAACTACAAATGACAAGCAAAAAAGAAGACATGCCACTTTTTGCAGATAGAAGAGACTAGAAGGGATGTTATGGGAATTTTGGATTGTCAGAGGGGTTTGGCAAATTAAAAATGTCAGGGGAGAAATATATTATTGAATTTAAATAGAAGATGTTATTTGAAATTAATTATTGTTAAGTTGGAGAAGTGAAATAAAGAGGTAAAAAATGTAAATAACATTTTATTTAATTGGAAGCCAAGTGTAGCAGAAAGGAGTGTTGAGAGGAGGCAGTGATAAGCATAGGGGGAAAGCAGAACTAGACAAGCAGGGCAAGAAAACAACACAGACAGAGCATGAGAACAGCCAGTGCAGAAGAAAATAAATAGACCATATTTTTTTACAAAAAGTAATTTTTGTATTAATAATTTTTTTTATACTCAATTGATTTCATAAGTTTAAAGCCCCCAATCTGAGATTTTCTATTGATTGGATTTAAGTGGATCTACTGGGTGATTCCATAATATCAGCATATTTATTAATTTGAATTAAAGGAATATTATAATTTAAAAAAAATCTATTTGTTATTAACATCTTACCTAATCTTACAGCTGCTGGGCAATTTGGATTAGTTCTCAAAGCCTTTTTATAGAAAGCCAAAGCAGCCCTATAATCTTTTCTGTTGTAAGCTATACAAGCTTTACCCAATAACGAAGGGATGTTATTTTGCGATTGATTCAATACGAAATTGAATTGGGCATCAGCTTGTTCCATTTTATCACCCTCCAAAAGGCAGAAATATGCTCTACCCAATAAATGATTCTAAAAATTTAAAAATAAAATATGTTGTTTTATTAAAATTTTCCAATCCTTACTTGGTCATACATGATAATTTTATCAGCTGTTGTATACAGAAGCGTAGCTTTCGTAAATAATTCCCTTCTTCTGTCTTTATTCTTTTCTTTATTAGCCTTTTGGACGTAGTATGCTGCAAGCATATCCAGAGCACGCATTTGGTCTTTTTCATAATCCCTATAGCTGACGTTGGCGTCAGTTCTTGAAGCTTCAAGTATTTTAATAAAATCATCGATCTTTCCTTGTTTGTAATATTCCAACTAAAAATATATTGACATTATATTTGTATAAAAGTTGCCATATGGATAAAACTTACAGCCAAATTGACCCAAACAGAAAGTTGGGTCTTTTCCTGCCGCAAAATACCCAGGACTTCATCTCCTTCCGGCAATTGTTCAATATCCAATTCAATTACCTAAAATTCGTGTATTGTTCAGTTTAAATATAGACCGAGATTACAAATAAATTTTACCTCATCTGTATCCCGTAAAGGGATTTCTATCACGTTGGCCATCTCGAGTAGATGGACTTCTCTTTGGAAACTATTAAATTACACGGTTTTCTTTAAAATCGCATAATATAAATAGCAAAGGACCATACAAAAATTAAAACTGACGACACTTGGACACCAGTAAACAATAACCCTGTTTAGTGACAACGTAACCAAACTTTCTTCTTTTTTATTATTTTAAGATTTAACATTGGCCTCGTAGTCGTTAGAGAATTCAGCACTCACAGCTGGCCTGGACCTCTAGTTTTCTGGACTGGCAGCTTCTGTGCTGACAACTGGCCTGTATTTATCAATGAACTGGAGTGGGGTAGAAAGCTAATGTGCATATTAGGCATTCCAACAACCTGTCCAAATGGCTACCAGTGGGTAACAATGAACTGGAGTGGGGTAGAAAGCCAATGTGCATATTGTATCAATAGAACAAGATGCGACTCTATGGGCGCTGCCATTTTTATTTATCATCTCACTCGGGAGTATTTATAATAACCATTTTCTGTTTCACATTGTTATTGTTCAATCCACAAGCTGGTGGATCAGACAATAACAAAGTGAAATAGAAAATGGTTGTAATAAATACTACCGAGTGAGATGAAAAATAACCTGTCTTTGCCCATAGAGTCGCATCTCAAGCCTATTGACAAGCATTCTACCCCACTCCAAGGGGGCTATTTTCAAACTCGAGAGAATTCATTTCCATCAAGAGAAATGTCATACGTCAACGTAAAACCGTATTTTTAGGGCTCTTAGGGCCAGTGTGAACTCACTGACTGTTTCTCTCGGTTTATTTAGAGATAATTAAAATTCTCCTAAGAATTTTAATCCTCGATGTCTTTAAATACAGCGTTTCCACATTGACGTATGACATTTCTGATGAGAATCTTGAGAGAAAAGAGTGCTCACATACTTTAAAAATAGGTCCCCAGTTCATTGGTGGGTAATGACAGTTTGGATATGGCAACCCTGGGGGGCTATTTTCAAAGTATGGGAGCCACACAATGAACTGGAGTGGGGTAGAAAGCTAATGTGCATATTGTATCAATAGAACAAGATGCGACTCTATGGGCGCTGCCATTTTTATTTCTTCTCTCACTCGGGAGTATTTATAATAACCATTTTCTGTTTCACATTGTTATTGTTCAATCCACAAGCTGGTGGATCAGACAATAACAAAGTGAAATAGAAAATGGTCGTTATAAATACTCCCGAGTGAGATGAAAAATAACCTGTCTTCACCCATAGAGTCGCATCTCAAGCCTACTGACAAGCATTCTACCCCACTCCAGTTCATTGGAGCCACATACTTTGATTTTCTTTTACTATACGGAGAATGGTCGCACTGCGCAGCTTTCTGAGTGCCTTTTAAAAGGAGATATAAAACTCCGCCATTTTGAACCCTTATTACGTGTGGCCTACATCTTGGCGCAATATTTTTAATAGGTGCGTTTTAATCATCCGCTTCTGCTTCGGAATTGTCGGTTTTCTTGTTTTAATTTGACAAGTTAAAACGACTAAACCGACAATTCCGGAAGCAGAAGCGGATGATTAAAACGCACCTGATATTTTGCTTGCGGCTGTCAGTGTCAGTGAATATTATTTTTTGAGTCACAGATTATTGCTAAAGAATCAGTAGCTCACTCGGACCAGTTGAAAGTTTCAAAATAAGATCCACTCCAGGGATACAAATTTAGGATACGCAGAAGACAGCTGTTTTATTATAGGCGGTTGTTATATATTGTATTATCCGAGTTGCGCAGTGTATAAACTGGAACATTGAGATCAAAAGTGCCGACGCAGAGTGAGCGATCTGATTCTTTAGCTATAAACTGTTGCATAGGGTTCAAAATGGCCGGGCCCTATGTTGGGCGTGTCGGACCTCTCTCTTGCGCCGTATAGTAAAGAAAATCAAAGTATGTGATGGGAGCACTCATTTCTCTCAAGATTCTCATCAGAAATGTCATACGTCAATGTGGAAATGTTGTTTTTAAAGGCATCGAGGATTAAAATTCTTAGGAAGATTTTAATTATCTCTAAATAAATCGAGAGAAACAGTCAGTGAGTTCACACTGGCCCTAAGAGCCCTAAAAATACTGTTTTACGTTGACGTATGACATTTCTCTCGAGAGAAATGAATTCTCTCGACTTTGAAAATAGCACCCCTGGGGGGCTATTTTCAAAGTATGGGAGCACTCATTTCTCTCAAGATTCTCATCAGAAATGTCATACGTCAATGTGGAAACGCTGTTTTTAAAGGCCTCGAGGATTAAAAATCTTAGGAGGATATTAATTATCTCTAAATAAACCGTGATAAACAATCAGTGATTTCACACTGGCCCTTAGGACCCTAAAAATTACTGTTTTACGTTGACGTATGACATTTCTCTTGAGAGAAATGAATTCTCTCGACTTTGAAAATAGACCCCCAGGGGACCTATTTTCAAAGTATGTGAGCACTCATTTCTCTCAAGATTCTCATCAGAAATGTCATACGTCAATTTGGAAACGCTGTATTTAAAGACATCGAGGATTAAAATTCTTAGGAAGATTTTAATTCTCTCTAAATAAACCGAGAGAAACAGTAAGTGAGTTCACACTGGCCCTAAGAGCCCTAAAAATACAGTTTTACGTTGACGTATGACATTTCTCTTGAGAGAAATGAATTCTCTCGAGTTTGAAAATAGCCCCCCTGGGGTGCTATTTTCAAAGTCGAGAGAATTCATTTCTCTCGAGAGAAATGTCATACGTCAACGTAAAACAGTATTTTTAGGGTCCTAAGGGCCAGTGTAAACTCACTGATTGTTTCTCACGGTTTATTTAGAGATAATTAATATCCTCCTAAGAATTTTAATCCTCGAGGCCTTTAAAAACAGCGTTTCCACATTGACGTATGACATTTCTGATGAGAATCTTGAGAGAAATGAGTACTCACACGGTTTGAAAATAGGTCCCCTGGGGACCTATTTTCAAAGTATGTGAGCACTCCTTTCTCTCAAGATTCTCATCAGAAATGTCATACGTCAATGTGGAAACGCTGTATTTAAAGACATCGAGGATTAAAATTCTTAGGAGGATATTAATTATCTCTAAATAAACCGTGAGAAACAATCAGTGAGTTTACACTGGCCCTTAGGACCCTAAAAATACTGTTTTACGTTGACGTATGACATTTCTCTCGAGAGAATTGAATTCTCTCGACTTTGAAAATAGCACCCCAGTTGTCATGTTGTATTAGTCATAGATAAATTAATATTAAAAGATAAACCGTTTAAATGCAAGGCACTGGTAACAAGTGGTAGTTCCCAGCCATACTACTTGGAGCCACCGTCGCAAATAAGATGACAGCGATGTTGTCAGTTTCCATAAACTTTCATGAGATTAGAGTTAATTCAAACGCATAAGCTGCACCTTATTTTGTTTTTGTCGTGCTCGATACCATCCATACAATGGCCATACTATTGCTGAGATATTTTAAAGAGAGGTTTGGCAACTGTGTTGATAACCTCGTTAAAAATAAAGAACGGAATGGCGGAAGACGAAATAGTCGAAAAATGCACAAAAACCATCATAAAATAAAAGTTATTATGATGTTGTGGATATAATTATCCTTCGATAGTTATTATTAGGTTAAGAAGATTGATAAGTACTGATTTGATGAAATTAGTAAGTATTAACAATATAATTTAATAAGGTGTTAGATTTGTTTAAGGACTTTGTTTATCATTGTTTTCTTATAGCCTTAACGAAGTATAATTTCATTTTGGATCGATTTTCAATTCTTTTTGAATATACCTATTTGTAACAAAACATGTCTGGCCCTGGTAAAATTAAGTAATCTTTTTCAGCCCCTTAATTTAAATAAGTATTATTCTAATATTCAGCAGGCTGGTTATTCAAATAAAACCTTTTTTCATTATCCTTCCGATATTAAAATTCGAGAAAACTGTTTTAAGAATTTACATTTATCTTTATAAAGATAATAAAATTCGCTATCTTTTTGAAGATCATTTTTGGCCAGATTCTTTTAGTAAAATTGCTTCAAAACATAAACGACTAATTGCAAATTCTGTACCAATTTTATTAACTAATAGTACATCCAGTTCAACTATACTCAATACTCAACCCAAACAGTCAGATTTTAGAAAATGTTGAGGCTGAAGCACATACACAGTAGCATAAGATAGATTTGCTAATCTGCAACGAAAAACAAGAAATGATTTGCAAACGTAAACTTAGTATTAGTGATAAACAATTTGAACAACCCTCTGTTAAAAATGAAAAGTAATTTTCAAACTCAAATTTCTTAGATCAACTAGAACAGATTAGTTAAAATATAATTCAAATCGACCATTGCACTATGAGAAATAAACTGAAAGTTTTTTCTATAAACTAATTTTACACAAATTTAAAATATTTTTTTTTTTTATAAGGGCAACATTTTGATAAGAAAAATTGTTTAATAAGATGTAAGTATGTACACTTTTTTGTTTTTATAGGAAACCCCTGACACCTGCATCAAAATTTGGTCCAGTTTTCCAAGAACGAGAGGAGAATACTATTAATTTCACTTACAGTTGTTATTTGTACATGTTCTGTATGTAATAAATGTTTAAATGCACCTTTTATTAAATGATTAAACTATACGTATATGCCTATTGTTTCAAATATTTTCATTTATATTTTTTGAAGTTTTATTACTTAAAAAACTAATATTTATGTTAAATACAGTATTTTAATGTAACTATTAGTTTTTTTTAAAGTAATGAATGCCAAAAAATGTAAATAAATAAAGGACATTTGAATGAGCCGCGTTTAGGCTTGACATTCTTCTTTTTAATTTTCTTCTTTTATGTTGCTCTAACTGTTAAGTTAATCAGCCAAATGTGTAGCGTGCGACGGTGGCTCCAAGTAGTATGGCTGGGAACTACCACTTGTTACCAGTGCCGTGCATTTAAACGGTTTATCTTTTAATATTAATTTATCTATGGTATTAGCAATGAAGTAACATAACATAACAATATTTTATTTACACAGTTAAAAATGTATATACATGTCAGGATTGGAAATAGTATATCAACACCACCGGAGATCTTCCTGTCGTGCGGTCAATCGTCCGCCCGGACTTGTCCAACCTATATCTACCCCCTATCCTGTAAAAAAAAATGGTCAAATATTGTGGCCCTCACTCCTTACTGCACAGTATTATTGAGGGATTATGGTTGTTTTGGGATC